GAAACCTCTCTGTTAAGCTCATCTATCAGTAACATTACAAATAACATTATTATAATATAGAGTAATGGTTCAAAAAGTGCAGTCCACAGATGTTTGAGAATGTTCATAAATCCCTCTAAAATTCAAGGGTAGGGTAGATAGATCTGTTCAGCATAGGAAGAAAGTAAGAAAAATGTTGGGGACTTACCATTACAGTCATGCCAACTCTAGCATAAAATTATTACACAGGGTCATCATGCTCTTGCCTCTGTCAGCTTGGATAGGAAATCACATGCTTCTGTGTCATCAGCTCCAATTCTTGGCTGAGGTGTAAGAGAACTCATAGGCTAGGGGGGAAGTAGCATGTCAAGTCTCACTGAAGAAACAGGATCTGAGTTCCCTCTAAGAACCTGAACCTTACCATTCTCTGCTAAAATAAATGAATGAATGAATGAATGAATGAATGAATGAACGAACATATCAATCAATCAATCAACTAACCAACTAACCAACCAGCCAACCAAAACCCAGATATCATACATCGTATCTCATAATATGAAATGACAATAAATTGGAAATGAGAAGATATGTGAGTCAAAGAATGGCTTTATATGGGAAGGCATAGTTGTTACCTGCAATAGCAAACATAAATATATAAATGGGACACCTAAAAGTTTATAAAAGTACATATTAATATGTGGCTTCTTAGAATCCTAGAAAATCTCTTTCAGGTGATTTGGTCTGCAAAGGTCCACATTCAACAAGTGAAAAGAAAAGAACTGAGGCCCAGAGAAGACTAACTTTTTCCAACACTGGCATTAGCCATTGCAAATCCACATCCTTCATACCTCACTGCTTTCATTGTACCAAGCATATAGTCTATAGGGTCTTTTGTTCAATTAATGTAATCCTGGAAAAAGTTTGAGTCATTGTTCTTCATCTCAAATATATTTTGTAAGTCATTTATATTATTACAAACTCATCATAATTTAAATAAAATCATACCTACAGCATATGGCATAATATGCTATTTATTCTATTCAACAGCCAATTAGATATAATGAAAACATGCCAGTCTAATTACACAAGAAAGCAGGAAGATGGCAGATCACAGAAGAAAAATATGATAATCCTCTAAGAAAATTTGAATATAAATTTGTCATTGAATAAATGAATGAATCTATAACTAACTTAAAGATATTTACCGTGTCACATTTGCTTGACTAAGTAAGATAAATTGTCATATAACAAGATTTACAACTATTTAGATGTTGATGTGGGTATAGAGAGATACTATAAGAACAAAGAACAAGCATTTAATTTACCAATGAATTGACTCCAAAAGTTGAGTTAGAATTCAATCTTATTTTCACAAAGAAATATTCTAAATTGTGGGTCTTTGAGGTTGCCCAAAGAAGTAAGTAGGTTCAAGCCACATGTAGTTGAAGGATGGCAGTAAGATTTTTATGGAATCTAATTATCATTTAAAACACTGCTGCTAAAAAATAATAACATAAAAACAGGGAGGGAGACAAAACATAAGAGACTCTTAAATACAGAAAACAAACAGAGGGTTACAGGAGCGGTTGTGGGAGGGGGAATGGGCTAAATGGGTAAGGGGCATTAAGGAATCTACTACTGAAATCATTGTTGCACTATATGCTAACTAACTTGGATGTAAACTTTAAAAAATAAATCAAAAATAAACAAATGTATAAAACACTACTGCTACAAGATGGTACAAAGAAGCCAGAGACTCATTACTACTTCTTAACCCTATTCCCCTGATGTTTCTTCTTGACCTCCTTTCCTCATACCCTCCCTTCCAGCCACTGCTCCCAGCTGACACTAATAACTATTTGTTGAATACAAGCAGAAAGCAAGGAACAGTGCTGTAGCCTCCCTTTAACTCTGACAGCAAGCCCAAAGGTGTTCTGCAATGGTAGGAAACTCTCGCAACATCAATAAAGCAGAATAGAGGATGACAGTGGTGGTGGCCAAGGAATGGTGAGGTGGGAATGAATGAGACTGGCTCCCGTGGAAAAAGGCTCTGCCCTACTCACACAAACAATTTAATGACAGAGGCTGTTTGTGAGTCAGGCATTAATATTTTGAAAACTTTTTATGTTGTTTCTGGAGCAGAGTTCTAACAGTAGCTAAACGGCTGCAGTGTGGCTGTATGTGGCCTATCAACTTGCCATCTTGAATTCAAAAGCTCCTCTCAAGCCATCCAGTATAAGCCACCATCTTCTCTTACCTGGACCATTGCTACAGTCTCCTAGCTAGCTGGTGTCTCTTCTTCCAGTCTTACCACTCCATTCCTTCTACATACACGTTCCATCCCACACATTATGCCCAATCCAGCAGCCAGAGTGGTCTTTCTAAAACATACATTTAATCATGTTAAATCCCATTGGAACAAGCCAATAGTTCTCAATTATCCTTGAAATAAAATCCAAATTAGGAGGTGCCTGGGTGGCTTAGTTGGTTAAGTATCCGACTTTGGCTCAGGTCATGATCTCATAGTTCGTGGGTTCCAGCCCCACCTTATGGTTCCCTCTTCCTGGAATGTTCTTCAACAAAATCTACACAGCTCATCATTCCAGCCTGTAATCTGATGTTCCTTCCTCCCAAACACCCAATCTAAAGGTTCTTCCCCCATCACTTTTTAGCTCACTACCCCATTTGATTTTCTTCAGAGCACTTACTATTGCTGTTCGTTCCACAGAGCAGCAACTTTGTCATTTTCTCTTTCTTGAAATCGTTTAAACTAAGAAAACAATTCTTTCCTAAAGTTTCTTCAACCAAATCACTCCACTGTATTTCAAGGGTCATTCCCATCCTGCTGCCCCATGCCCATAATCCCTCCAATATATACCTTTAATAAAATGATCTCCAGCACTCAGTTAATATTATAACTGAGGATATAGTGTATTATAAACACATGAGGGAGCTTCAGCAGCAGAGATTGTTACCTTGAGTTTATAGAGGTGTGAAAGGGATGACCACTGATCATTAGCTTACAGAGCTCTCAAAGATTCTTCTTTCCTACAGGGGACACCCTGTGCCTTCCAATGGCCTTGTTTCAGTGCCCATACAGTGAGACAAAAGAACCCCGAAGCCATATTCCAACATCAGCAGCTACTCCTATTATCTTCAGAGCCCCTCATACTAATACCCAGAAAAATGCCAATGCCAATATGCTTGAAACTTGTCTAAATAAAACTTCTGTGGGGTGAGGTTGATCTGGAGAACTCCAGTATCTCTGGGATTCTTGCCTACATTTGTGGTTGAAGACATGAGCTCTGAAGCCAAATAGCATGAGTTTGAATTTCTGTTTTGCCACCAACTAGCTATGAGACCTTGGGAAGCTAGCTAGTTATCCTCACAAACACCAGGTATGCTGTAATAAGGGAAACTGAGTCCTACAGAAATAACTTTTTGAATAGTTGGGTTTTTGTTTGTTTAACAGTTTTCTCTGAAAAATAGGGATGATAATAATAGCACCTATCCTTAGGGTTATAATGTGGACTGAATGAGTTAATTAACCTATATAAAACACTAGCTATTATTATCATGAATCCTCAGAAAAATCTTTCGCTTTCCCCAGAATAACTGATAAAATCTTCCAATCCAATATGAATTTAAATGTGCATAAATAATCCTCTAAGCTCTTGGAAACAAAATGTACCTAAGAGATTTTTTAAGGCAATGAGCACAAAAGAAGAAGACACTCCATCGACTGATTTTTCTATACAGATAAGCCTTTAAGAGCTCCTGAAGCTGTGGTCTTTGAACACAGGAGCTTCCCACAGAATGACAAGGATATTTGAGCAGCCAGCATAGTAAAATAAACCATTGCTAAGCCTCAGACTCTTGCAACAACTACTCCATATTTGACTGAAGTCAGTGAAATATATGATATAAAAGTTTTTTAAAGCTTTTGTGTAAAAATTGTTTTTGAACGTTTCTGTAAGATTTTATTCCCTTACTGAAAACTTAGTGGCCATCAACAATCATTACTCTTATGCACAGAATACTTAGGAAGCAGAAAGAACTATATAAGACATTAAACTTTAACTCCAACAATGGGCAAAGGCACCTTTTAGGACTTGCAAAATAATATCAAGCCAGGATTGGAAGGACTTTTACCTCTGAAATACATGCTCTTTATAGCCAAACAAAAGTGAGACAATCTCACCTGTAAATAGCTTTGCAAATCACAAAGTATTCTTATCTAATGTTTGTATACTGCATTATAAGCATGAAAAATAGCTCAGGTCAGACCAGAGCTCTTAAAATTTACAAAACATAGTTTAATATAATCCATGACCTCCCAAATTCAACAGTATCATTTTATAGCACTTTAATGGTTCCACAAGATTGATATGATTTTTTGTACTTTTATAGCTACTGGATTTAAATAAGTAGTAAGTCACAGGGCCAAAATTATTAACATCTAACATGGTCCAGAGAGCAGAATTATCATAATTCATACTTTTACACAGATCTCAAATTTTCAAAGAACAAAATTCATACAAACAATTATTTGAGGGCTCGCTTGAAGACTAGTGATTTGGACATTTTCAAAAGCCTGCCATTTGAAACAGATGTCACAGGAACAATCCCAAAATTCTTTATTAACTCTGAATCAGTGCTATTAATTTCATTCTTAAGATGCTCTAGATCCCTGAGTCTTTTCAACACATTATTTAATGAAAATTGTCCCTATATCAGTATCTTGCCATTATTACAAAGAAGGAAATTTCCAACTACTGATCCCTAACTCCATTTCTTCAGGTTAACAAACATGTGACTATGCCAAAGAAATAAAAGAAATTTGAGGGAAATATTATAAACTTAAAAATCTATGAGGAAAAAACAATGCTTCTTCAAACACCGCAAGGTATGTCTTCCTGAAAGAGAACTATTCGTGTCTTGAAACTGTATATCACAATAATATCAATTAATTTGAAATTGGAAACACTTTCATAAAATAACTGTCATTCTCTGTGACTTACCTCGTCATCTTTGTACCAGGACAAGCTTTCAGCTGTAAGGACAAACCAGTATCCCTTAGAGCCTCCTTTCATGATGCCAATGTTGCTGATGGTTAGCCACCCCTTGCGAATCACCTACAAGAGAGCACAAATTGGCAGAGATGTTTGGTTTAAAGTAACTCAATGAAGAGCATAGATCTTGTACTAAGTGGAGTTAAAAACAAGGTATAAATTGCAATAAGAACAACATTGTTTCCCCAAAGCTCAACCTCTATTGAGCTATTTAAGACAATTTATCTTCCCAAACTACAGATAACCAGAGGGAAATCTCTCCCATCAGATGGACACAATTAAAACTGCAGACTTATATGGATGGTGGAAGCAAACAGGAATAAGGCAGACTAATAGGCTTGTGCTGAGCCTATTTATGGCATTGCTGTTGTAATTAAAACATATTTAGTTGATTAGGTGAACAATAATAAACTCTCCCCCTGCCTCTCTCCCCCTCCTAGTCCACTGGTCCATTTGTTTGCCTGCTTTGCTTCTCATTAGGATTTCCACCAGAGACTGGCCACCAAATGGTAAAAAGAAGAAACTCAAGTCAGCCAATTAGTTCCTTGTTAACAGTTCACCACTCTGAATAAAACTGAATGAGTTTCAAGAAAGCTGAAACAATAAGCACAAGCTAAAAGTTTGGAGCTTTTCAAGGGTCTAGATTTATCTGTCTACTTCTGGTTGCTATTTGTCTTGTTAAAAACATGTAGGATCTTCATGAAAATCTTTAAACAGCATTTAAAGTTTAAAACATTGATAAATTAGATTATAGCTTGGATAGAAATTATTTATAAATGGCATTTGAGTGAAAGCCTAACTTTTTCTCAGGGTTGCAAAGTTAAATTCTTTTTTTTTTTTTTTTTTTACAAATAGTTTATTGTCAAATTAGTTTCCACATAACACTCAGTGCTCATCCCCACAAGTGCCCTCCTCCATGCCCATCCCTCCTCCCCCCCACATCCATCAGTCCTCAGTTTTTGTCAGCATTCAAGAGTCTCTCATGGTTTGCCTCTCTCCCTTTCCCCCACCATTTCCCCCCTTCTTCTCCCCCTTGTTCCTCCGTCAAGTTCCTCCTAATCCTCCTATACGTGCAAACATATGATATTTGTCCTTCTCTGCCTGACTTATTTTGCTCAGCATAACACCCTCAAGGTCCATCCATGTTGCTACAGGGAAATACAAATCAAAACCACACTGAGATACCACCTCACGCCAGTCAGAGTGGCTAAAATGAGCAAATCAGAGAACTCGAGATGCTGGCGAGGATGTGGAGAAACGGGCACCCTCCTACACTGTTGGTGGGAATGTAAACTGGTACAGCCCCTCTGGAAAACAGTGTGGAGGTTCCTCAGGAAACTAACAATAGAACTCCCATATGACCCAGCAATAGCACTGCTAAGAATTTACCCAAGGGATACAGAAATGCTGAAGCATAGGAGCACATGTACCCCAATGTCCATAGCAGCACTCTCCACAATAGCTAAAACATGGAAAGAGCCTAAGTGTCCATCAGCAAAGTTAAATTCTTTTTTTCCACATGGCATAGATGACCATCTCCCCTATACCAGACAGTTTTGTTGTCATAGAACCAAAAAAGAAATACTGTATGGAATTATATGATACTGTTCTAAGTATCAATAATCATCCTATACCTAAATTAATCAATATCCTAGAGACCCTGAAATATTTAAAAAATACTTATTTAATGATTAGTGAGTGTCAGTTCCTAAATGAAGATGAATTACCTGAATAATCATATTTTTTAAAGTTATTGATAATAAGTTTTCTTGCTAAAGAATAAAAGTCAATCCTAGGGAAAATTGTGAAATAAGCCAAAGTTATTATTCTTGATCTTCAAGACTCTCTCCACACCCTCAGTCCTTGCTACCCTTGATTCCCTGTTTCAGCTTTTCCAGGTGTCCATTCTCAATGCTCTGTAACTTCTGTAGACCTCTACATAGAACCTCACCCTATCTCTGACTAAGGAAGTTCTCTCAGTTGTTCAACATTACTCCTGCCTCTTATTCTCTACTTCAGAAAGAAGAAAACAATACTTCTCAAAGTATGGTTTCTATCTGCTATAGTATAACTTTTGGGATGCTTTAACATGATGTTTGGGCCCCCACCAATCCAAAGAATCAGAATGTACACATATAAAACTCAGAAGCTATATTTAAACATGTGCCCAAGGTGATTATCATTCATGGTGAAGTTTGATGGTCATTGCTTGTACACATACAATGAAAACTTCACTCTGCTAAAGCAAATAATCTCATCTAATTTCTAGTAAGAAGCAAGTAGTCAATTTATTTCACACTAACATTGTTATCGACCCTATGAGGTTCTTACAATAGCATACTAATCACAGTACTAAAATGAAAGTATACTTGCATGTATCTTTGGATAGAACGGAAGTCCTTCAGATACTCCATAAATTGCAATGAGCAAATCATTATTTCATTCCTGGTAGAACAGGTTGGCCCCAACAAGGAGAGCCATGAATGTAGTTCGATGAACATTTCTAAAGAACCTATTATATGTCAGGATGAAAAAAAAATATGATGCCACAATCCCTGCCTTCATGAATCTTTTTTTTTAAATAGAGGAATTTTCTTTTTTTTTTAATGTTTTCTATTTTTTTTTTTGAGAGAGAGATAGAGACAGCATGAGCAGGGGAGGGTCAGAGAGAGAGGGAGACACAGAATCTGAAACAAGCTCCAGGCTCTGAGCTGTCAGCACAGAGCCCGACACGGGGCTCGAACCCATGAACATGAGATCATGACCTGAGCCAAAGTTGGACGCTCAACCGACTGAGCCACCCAGGTGCCCCCCTGCCTTCATGAAGCTTATAGTTTAATAGGGAAGGCAGATCCATAAAGATTTAATTTAAATATAACAGTATAATAAGAAATGTATATCAAGCAAGAGAAGGGGCACTTGACAAAATTTAGGAAGTTGTCAAAGGCTTTCTTTGAAGAAATGGTACCTCAGAACAGCCTGGAAGAGAAACAGGATGTCAGGTCAGGAAGTACAGTAAAACCCTGTATTGCAAGTAATTTGTTCTACAAGTATTCTGCAAGGCAAGCAAACATTTCTAATAAATATTATCTTGATAAATGAGCAATGTCTTGCAATATGGGTAGTATGTGATGCTGAATGTCACATGATCATTACTCTCTCTCTCTCTCTCTTGCTGTGGGATTGTGGGTGATTGTCTCCCAGGCTCAGATGCTCAGTCTCAGACCGTGATGTTTGGCAGAAATCAGTTATTTTTCAGAACATTGGAAGGTGCCCAGAACTGACACTAGTGTAACTAGTGTATTTTTTGTCACTCCAAAGGACCTATGGACAGTCCTTTGCTTTTCTGTACAAGAGTAAGCTTAGGAATACTTTGCTTCCTTCTAAGTAAGGCTGCCTGCAGATATAGACCTTTTTCTCTGCTGCCTGATTTCCAGTCACATTAAATACAATACATGACAAGAATTTATTAATACTGTACTGTAGTCAACATCAGTGCAAATGTATACAATGACACCCATGCAGGAAAAGGTGGAAAAGAAGGGCGATAAGAAGAAGATGATTACAGTGGAAGTGAAGAAGGAAATCATTGAGCAGTACAAATGAGATATGAGAGTGACCAAAATTGCAATATTATATAAGAAGTTTATATCTGCATCTTGTCTGCAGAGGAGGGGGAGAAAAAGATGGAAGAATCACTCACTTCAAATGAGGTTAGGGAGATGTGTAAAATGTGGGGAACAGTGCAAAATTTGGTAGACAAGCACTACCCTAATAAGGCTGGAGCAGTGCCAGCGATGAACCTGTTTAACAACAATGCAAAGCCACATTTCCATGAAATTCTCTAAAGGAGGCAAAAGCAAGTATCATTGGATAGATTTCTTGTTAAAGCTGCATGAAAAGAAAAAGATTCCACTGAACAAATAGATAGCAATAATTCCGTTAGTGATAGTGAAAGTTGTCCTACGTAAAAACCCTCCTCTCTTTTGTCTCCCTCAAACCAGCCATGAAGGTTTTCAAAGGTAAGCACAGGTTAATTTGTTTATTTTTCTTTATATTTTATATTTTCTTTATTATTTTATATCATATTACAGTATGATATACAAACCAAGGTCTTACTGTAATTTGCTTATCTGTATGAAGAACAAACAAGAACGAAATATGAAAGGGCCACTTAATACAGAAAATGTGCGTTGGGGATAAAGAAATTGAGGTTCGGGAGGCAGGTAGGGTAAAGTTAGTGTGCATCCAGTTCCATGAGACTCTAAATTTTAGTGATCTCACTCCTCCTGCCAGTACTAAAATAAGCTTCAAGTACACATATAAATTTATTTTTACATTATATATAACCATTTGTTAATAAATTGTGTACACCATATAGAAATATACAGAGAAATTTGAAAGTCTACATGAAGATAAACTCAATTATATTAAAAGTTTTTTATTTTGTGGGGAAAATGCATTTTATGTCTTATATTTCCATTTTATTATTACTTCTCAGAAATACAAAGCAAGGGTGCTGGCATCAACATGTCGATTAATACATAGAAAACCCGACAGACTCCATCAGAAGCCTACTAGACCTGATCCATGAATTCAGCAAAGTTGCAGGGTACAAAATCAATGTACAGATATCAGTTGCATTTTTATACACCAATAATAAAGCAACAGAAAGGGAAATCGAGAAAGTGATCCCATTCACAACTGCACAAAAAAACATTAGATACCTAGGAATAAAGCTAACCAAAGAATAAGGGATCTGTATGATGAAAACTATAGAAGGAAATTGAAGAAGACACAAAGAAATGGAAAATTTTATCATGCTCATGGGTTGGAAGAATAGATATTGTTAAAATGTCATTACTACCCAAAGCAATCTACACATTCAATGCACACCCAATTGAAATTTCACCAGCATTCTTCTCAAAACTAGAACAGACTATCTTAAAATTTGTATGGAACCACAAAACCCGAATAGCCAAAGTCATATTGAAGAAGAAAACCAAAACGGGAGGCATCACAATCCCAGACTTTAGCCTCTACTACAAAGCTGTAATCATCAA